TACCACCCCCCATCCTACCTAGGAATTCCTACTGCTTTTCATGAGCATCTCCATTATTTCTCTTCAATCCAGCCTTATTTATCCTTCATATCCTTGACATTCTTAAAGAACATTCTGTAGAAGATTCTTTGACCTGGTTCATTTCAGACTGTGGTGGCTGGGTAAGCAAGTCCAAAATCCAGGCAGGCAGAAGAGGAAGATCAAGGTAGGCTGAGTCTTCCTATGGGCTGAAGCTGTTGCTTGGAGGTGAAATTTCTTCTCCCACTAGTCTCCCTTCTAGTTCTTCAGCACTGCCTTTGAAAGCAAGCCATGTGCATTAAGATTACACAAAATAATCTTTAAGGTCAACTGATTAGGGGCTTTAATTACATTTCCAAAATGTCTTCACAGTAGAAAAGTCTTCAAGTAGAAAGTGATGTTGATTTTTACTGATTTAAAATATCTTTTTTTCTTTAACAATGCTCCTTGCCTTATTTTGTCTAATAACAGTATACATACATTCACTTTTTGTTAATCTCATGGAATTCATAGTCCCTTGTATTTACTTATTTCAGCACTTGAAGATATCACTCCGTTATCTCCTGACTTCTATTATTTCTGTTGAAAAAGCAGCTATCTAGGAGCTGGGGGTTTAGCTCAGTGGATCTGTGCCTGCCTTGCAAGCACAATGTCCTGAGTTTGATCCTTGGTACTGGGAAAAAAGAAAGAGGGGGGAGGGGAAGAGAGGGAGGGAGAGAGAGGGGGAATGGTCAGCTATCTAGCTTACTGCGGAAAGTAACATGGCTTTTGCATTTGGTTGCTTTCAACTTTTTTCTCTTTCCATTTTTATCAGCTTTACTACAATATGACTGAGGGTTTTGCTTTGTGTTTGTCTTGAAGTCTTAGCCCTTTCTTAATACTCTTAGGTGTATTTCATCAATTCTGAAGATATCTCTGCCATTCTCCACTCTTGCATGCGTGCCACATTCTGTCTCTATTTCTTGTAGAATGCTTACTGCGTTAAACCTTTTCACTATAAACCTTTTCGTTATATTTCTCCTCTGTTGTCCTATTATATACTTTTTGCTTCTGCAAGCTTCAGTCTGGAACCTTTCTTCTGATCCACATTCTATTTCACGTATTCATTTGTTCAGCTTTTCTAATCCACCATTAAATGCATGCATTGAGTTCTTACTTTCAGTAATAGCATTTTTTATTTCTATAATTTTTCTTTTTTCTTTTTTTTATTGTTTCCAAAATTTTCCATCTTGTCATTTAATCTCTTGAATATGCTAGTTTTATCCTCTGTGCTGAACTATTAATTTGACAAAGTTTTAAATGAGACAAATCTGTCTAAAACTTTATACTAAAACTCAAATCTACTTGTCCCTGTTCTTATTCTTATTCTAGGCCACTGCAGCAGAATAAGTGCTTCCCTAGAAAAATAATGCTTAAAATGGCCTCAGAGACAATCAAATGAGAAAACAAAATAAAGCAGTCTTATAAAATCATAACGCAGTCTCTGTAAGTTTCTGACATCTTGGTATTATAACTATAATTACATGTACACGATGGGGACTACTTAACTCTTAAAGTCTTCTTTAAAAGTGCCCCAATATAAAACTCTATATATCTCTTAGTACTAAATAGCTATCTGCATAGGTTCCTCTATAAATGGTTATCATTCAGACATTGATATTCCTTACCTATAATTTTGTGTTAGCTTATTAATTTTACCATTATACAATTGGTTATACAGGAGATATATAAGGCACACAGACAGTCCATCTCCTACTATAATGGTTCAGATTGATTTTAATGAACACGATAAATTTGGCATCAAACTGGATATAGATGGTTCCATTTGTGTGTTTTATTGGTAGCATAAACAGGAGATTGATGGAAAGAGTCTTTTTCCTTAGGTACACCAGAATCTTTATTGACATTGGTTATAGTCTAGTCTTTTAGCCTTTTACCTCAAAAGCCATGCAATAACTCCCACATCACAAATTTCTTTGCTTTTTTTAGCTTCCCTGTGTTCATTCTGCAGTTCTGTTGCTTTCTTCAAAATCTCAAGTCAAGTGTGACTACCTTAAAGTCTATGTTTGATGACTATGGTGTCTGACTTTCTTCAGGGTATATTTGTACTTTTTTTCTTTTCTCTTTCTTTTTAGTATGAACAGTTATTTTTACATAAAGTTTCAAATATTTTGCATAAATAAATTCATTGAGGGTCTAGATATACCTTCAAAAAAATGACATGGTGGTGCATGCCTGTAAACCCAACATTCAGGAGCCTGAGACAGAGGGCTGCCAAAAGTTCAAAGCCAGCCTGGACTCCATGGTGAGTTCAAGGCCAGCCTGAACTCCATAGTGAGACCCTGTCTCAAACAAAACAAAACAAAAAAACAGAAACAAGGGACCTGGGATTTAGCTCAATGGCTCCGCCTCTTGCTTTGCAAGTGTAAGATCCCAAGTTTTATCCCTGGTACCAAAAACAAAACAAACAAACAAAAAAAAAAAAGATTTAGTTTTGTCTCGTGCAATAAACATAGAAGCAGATGACTTTAATGTAACTGGAGATGGAGCTGATACAAAGCTGGATATATCAGGTATTTTGAAAACCAGTCTATTTACTGTTTACCCTTGTTCCTAAGATTTATCTCTTTAGAATTCTAACTAAATTCTCCCCTCCAGTCTGTTTTCCAATCTTCCCTTCCCCATGGCCAGCCTAATTTTTGTTCCCCAGTTCTCAGACTGGCTGACCAAAGCTCTACTCAAACCCTCTGCTTCTCAACCAGCTTTTCAATAACAAATGCCCAAAGAAAAAGCAGCACCAACTGTTGAATTCACCACTTTGGGCTTCTCTCCTCTCTGGTATTTTGTCCCTCCATTTTCTTTCTTCCTTGGTATCTGTGGTATCTTCAAACATATCTCATGTTCTCAGGTTGAGGCTTAAACTGAAGCAAACCAGTCTAGTAATATACAAATAGGTTGTCATTTTTTGACATACTTTGCAAGACATAGTTTATGTCCAACAACAATGTGAGCACTACTTTCAAAAACACCGAGAACCTACTAATATTGCCTAAAGTATTAATGAAAGTGAAAATTATCAAATCATTACCAGTATCTCTTTACATTTTATCATCAGTACTATTATAATCATATTTTGAGTAGACAGAATGCTTCAGGTAAACTATACAGTGAGTTTGTGACCCCATCTTTAGCCCATGTAAGTTTGGCTTTTCATAACATTCTGGACTACAGGGCTTTCTGCATTATCTCCTATAAAGTTTTTTTCAGGGCTAATTTATATATGTTTTACCAGTTTTTTTGTAGAATCCAGCAGGACATTTGTTATGGAACAATTCATTATATGGCAGGGCACTGAAGGATGTTTAGCTTCCCTGGCCTGTTGCTCAGGAGCATCACCTTAATAAATTTTTAAGCAAAAATAATTTCCTCAGCTAAAGAAAGGATTTTAAATGTTTTTGCCACAAAATTATAAGCTTGAGGAAATAGATATGCTTACCCCAATTTGAATTTCACAGAATTGAAACAGCATATGGTAACCCATGAGTATGTTCAATTATTATGAGCCAATTAAAAATTATTTTTAATCCAAAAGAATGCTTGTATAAATTTCACAAATTATCTTCTAGGACTTATTATCACCTTTTTGTGGAAACTCTCCATTAGATCTACAAGACCATCCTTGAAAACTGCCCTAACCTAGAGTATTGTGTGAATCATCACTAACAGGGATAAAGGACAGTATGGGCCAGTTACATTATGTTTTCTGTTACTTCTCACATCTGGACAACTCCTAGGGCCATCCTAAAATCTAAGTTAAACGAGTCAGTGTTAACATTCAGGGTACAGTAAAGAAGTCAACACCTGTCGCTTTTTCTTCCATCAGGTTGAGTGTGCTCATCAACTGGCTGGATGTCCCCTTCAGTGACAACCTTTTGTACAGTCAATTACAAAGCACCAGGAACAGCATAAATTTGATTAATTATCTTAGTCCTCTCAGCAACCCTATAAAGAAATTATTATTGCCAATTTGGAGATAAGGAAACGAGAGTTTAGAAAGTAAAGGGTTGTCCATTTTTTTAAAAAAATCACACACTTCTATGAATCCATTGCACTTCCACTGGTCAGCATAAAGCCACCTGCATTTTTTAAAACCTTATGCAGAGCTCTCTCCTCTCTGTCCCCGCCCCCCTGAAGTAGAAGGGAGCAACCTGATTGGAAGGATTTGAGAAAAAGAAAAATGGGTTCTGGGCTTTACTCAGGACACCCACTCTTGTACGTCTGCAACTCAGTGGCTTTTTTATATTTCCCTGATCCTTGTAATCCAGACTTCAGGGTACTGTGAACCTCACTGTCGCTTCCATTACAACAGTGCCATTTCCAAAGCCCTTCGCTGTCGCGAGCCGGCGATGCAGAGCACTGTCCAGCAGTGCCTCAAACCTGAAAGAGCAGCGGGGTGGAGATGGGGCAGAGAGAAAGGAAGGACGCCAAGAGTCTGATCAAGGCGACGTTTATTGCCGGCAAGCATCAGCCTTTTAAAGCAAAAAAAAAACCACAAACTATTATGGGATGGGGTTACCATAGTAAATGAAAGTTCACACAGGAAAAGAGCAAACAGGCTCAACAAAAACAACCACCGTGGGTAGTAGTAACCCAGACAACCACACATCTGAAGGTCAGAGACAAGAAACTGCAACTTTCAGGAATTCCACAAAGGAAATGCACCACCTGCTAAACTGGAGAAACTTAACAACATGGAGTTACTAAAGTTTACAATACTTACAAGTAACACTCATGATTCCCACACTTCGCCACTCCCTCCCCAACAGATTGCTTCCAGCCGGGGTCTGGCAGACCCTTTAACCCTAGCCTAGCTGCAGAGTTCACAATCTGGCCCTGGGCTCCGCACTCCAGGCTCCCAATTGCCTCCTCAGCAGGGGCTCTATGGTCGACCCCATTTGCTGCGCAGGCGCACTTGGGGCGATCTTCCGCCCAGAGTTCAGCGTTTGGTACTCGCTGGGCCTTCCTTCGTTCCCTTGGCAACGAAGTACACAAGTGTGAGCCTTAACCGCGAGCACTATGTGCCTCAGCAAAGCGGGTGAGAAGGCCTACAGAGAAGTCCAGAATAGAGGACAACCACGGGTGGGGAGCCTGGGAAAGATGAAGGAGGAGGAAGTACACTTCGTCCCCTCCGCGGAGTTCTGGTTTTTGTAAGAGCTCAGTGGGCCGAGTCTTCTGCTCCACCTGCCCTTCCCTGCCCTCTCGGAATGCAGAACGGGTTTGCAGAGACCGAGATGCCTTCTCTCACCTGTAGTTTCTCCCCTTTCCTGATTTTTAGGCGCTGTCAATGACTACTCCTTTGGAACACGTCAGCAGAGGAAGCTCTTCCCTCTCTACCATCCTCCAAACCGTTTGGGGAATTTTTTTCTCCCTCTTAGAGGGTCGCCTCACACAGGGCCTGGGCATTACATATCAGAAGATGTGAGTACTGCCCTCCCTCCTTTAGACGGGTCTCATTTCCCTAGATATAGAAAAATACCCAAGTTTCCTGGAAGAAAAACTACAGGATTTTCAAACTTCCGCGTCCTGTCATGAGTAAATTCCCTGGTAGGCAGCCAACTGTTGGAGCCAATACGGAGACCAGTAGAAGACCATGCTCCAACCTTGCCACCCTCACTAAATCGGAGCCTTGTCGCCATGCAGATTTCACTCCATCCCCACCTCCAAAGGCCTGTCAGCCAATGCCAGTTTCCCTTTTATCCTCTGGCTGACTATTGTGTAAGATCAATTTCACTTCTGTGGAACTCAAATTGGATTTATAGAAACGCCACTTTATCTATCGATCCACTTCCTTTTGCAGAGTTACTTGTGTTATTTATGCATAATTTGTATGGTCTTGACCTTGAAATAATAGTGAAGACATGAAAAACCAAGAAGGTTCAGATAGAAACATTCTAAATTCACTCCATTTTGAATGCTGTTCCCTGACTGTATTCTCGGTGTTTTTCTTTTTACGTTTTGTTTTGTTTTGTTGGATACCACTCAAAGTAGTATGGCCTGGCATACAAGCTGTCTAAGATTCCGACCAGTACAAAAGGATATGCTCTTGGAGCCAGAACAGCCGTGAGGTTTAAGCCAGTCACTAAGGTAAGTACTGGGATTTTAGGGTGATCTGGATTGCTGCATGAAAAGTTTGGACATAGTATTGCACATGTGTGAGTATCTTCAGGAAAGCATTAAAAAGTTCACAGAAGCAGTGGTCCCATGGCAGAGTGTCTGGTACTGAGATACCTGAGATTAAAATACTGGAAGCTATGTTTACACACATCGTATTGTCTTCTTCATTAAAAAATAAATTCCAAGCCTTGCGTGGTGGCAGACGCCTATAATCCCAGCACTCGGGAGACTGAGGCAGGAGGATCGCTCTGAGTTTGGGGCCAGCCTGGGCTACATGGTGAGTTCCAGGTCAGTCTCAACTACATAGTGAGACCCTGTCTCAAAAATAAATAAATAAATAAATTCCGACTCTTCCATCCTTTTGTGTGATTGGATTTCAAGTCTAACATTTAGTACAGTATCCTAATCACCCTTGCCCCACCACTTTCCTGGGGATTGAACCTAGGGCCTTGTGTACTGGCAGGTGCCCAACCACGGACCTACCTAGCCAACCCGAAGATCCCTAATCTCTTGTTGGATGTTTCCTGACATGTAAACTCAAGGACTAGGGTTACTGACTCTAAAAATCTTTCAGTGAGGTGGTAGATGTAGTGGTTGCCTTGGTTTTCTACCCATCTCGGTTTATTTCTATAGCTGAAGCCTTATGTATCCTTAGAGAGAAAAAAAAATCCTATCTTGGATTTCTACCTACATAGACCTATTTTGATATCTTAAAGTGACCAAGCCATAGCTAATTCATAAAGAGGCAGAAGTTATCAGTATTTTTTTAACCTGGTAGGCTTTATATGTATATATACAGCATTCTCTAATGCACTGATTTTTTTTTTCTTGGCAACAGGATGTGACACCTTGCCCAGGAAAGTACCAAAAGGCAAAAACTTCAGAGGAAAAACACAAACAAAATTTTGCTGCATTCAATGTCTTGATACCTCGATCTGGAAAATGTTCAAAGGACCCTTCTTATCCTGGGTATGTCTCCTGTTTTCTGGTGCACTTCAGTGAAAATAAGTACATATAGCACAGATTACAACCAAACCATCCCAGCTAGATAAGGAACCACTCATCTTTAAAGATTTAACCTCTTGCTTCCAAGTTCTCTGCCATTTGTATTGTAGATTGAGAGTTATTCTTTCAATAGATATTTTTAATATGCCAGAAATCATTCAGTAAACTCATTACACAAGGCTCCTGGATTCTTGGAGCTTATATTCTAGAGCCCATACAGATGAGAAGCAAATACACAAGAAAATACCAGCTAATAGTACTAAATAGAGAAAGCTTATAATTTATCAGTCAACCTGTGACCCTTCTGAGAGTGAAAGAGGTCTGGTAATAATAATATCAGGATAGTATCCATGAGCTAGAACTGTCATTGGCAAATAAGGAAGTATGGTAACCTGAATATGCATTATGAAGAAAATAAAACAGAGTAATTTAACAGATTGATGTGCTGAAGGCTTTTTCACCTGGGTTTTCAAGAAAGGGCACTGAACAACTGATATTTGATCTGAGATCTAAATGGCAAGACTGAGCCAGCCCTGCAAAGTACTGGAGGCAGAGAATCTCAAGTAGAAGGAACAGCAAATGCAAAGGTTTTAAGTTCGGAAGGAATTCTATGTGAAAAAAAGGAGAAGGCTAGTGTGGCTAGAATAGAGTGATAAAGGAGGAAACAAGAAGTGAGAAGAAAGGCAGGCTGACGTATATAGAACTTGTAGGCTAAAAGACTTATTCTAAATGCTGCAGGAAACCATTTAGAATCAATGAAATTGTAGGACAACTGGTCACGATCTTTCTTTTTCTCTAAGAAATCCAAATGTTGGAGAGTAAATGTAACTTTCAGAGCTTCCATTAGGCAAGTTTAAGTATTATGTCCTGACCCTCACATCCACTCTGAGTGTTATTTCTCCCACAATAAACTACAGTCACTCTACAACAAAAGACAAAGTATTATGAGCAAAGGCAATTCTAAAATAATAAAATGCTAAAATAATTTCTTGTGAAAGTTTAACTTGATCTGTTTCACTATCCCTGGATGACAGATAGGTTGTCTCTTCATTTCAATCACCAACTTCAGATTGTGAGCCGTGTGCTTATCTACTGTAGATCTCTTTGGTCACCTGCCTCTTCTGGGATCTTCTTGTCTCTCAGATAAGGACACTTAATTGCAGAAATATATTTTAAACTAGATTTGGTCTTGATCTGGATGTCAAGATGGCTACTTTTAACACTAACATCTAATTAGACACACATCGACAGATGAATGAACCCTATGTTTGTCTGACATTAAAAAGTTTATAAGTCTGTTGCCTTTACCCAAGGGTTAGGCCTGGTTCATAGATGGTTGTGTTACAGGTGCAGTTCCTGTATGGTCACTAATGGATTAAAAGGGATATTTGTTTCTCATTTCTAGTCCTGGCACTTACAACCCAGAGAAGAAGCCACCTCCAAAAGTTGCTTGGCCAATGAAATTTGGATCCCCAGACTGGGCTCAGGTTCCATGTCTACAGAAAAGAACTCTAAAAGCTGAGGTACTAAAATTGGACTTTGTGGACCATTTAATCTAGTATTTTCATATGTATCAGGGGTTCTTAACCAAGAGTCTGGAAATAAACTTCAGAAAGTCCATCGTCCCCTGAAATTATATATACAATATTGTGTATATATAAATATGAAGATCTTTTTGAAGGGTTACATAATTTCATTCGATATTTAAAGGTATATATGACTGACCAAAGTCACATTTTCGTATTTGAGTCTCAAATAATCTTTTGGGGTAAGTGCAAGAGAAATATCCCTATATGACAGAAAAGAATACTGAGGCCAGAGGGATCAAGTGATTTGTGCAGGCTGTGAGGCCAGAATCCAGATTTTAGGACTCCTACTACATCACTTGATTGTTAGATCCCAGGAGAGCTAGAGAACACTCCAGTTAAGAGCATGGATTCTGGGAGCAGTATGGCCTGTGTTCAAAGGGAAGCTCCAGTATAGACTTGCTATATGATCTTAGACAAATCCTGACTTTTCTAAGTCTCAATTTTATATTATAAAATCTATATAATAATAAAACTGATTGCCAGGCACAGTGACGCATGCCTGTAATCCCAGCACTTGGGAGGCTGAGACACGAGAATCACCTCAGGTTCAAGGCCAGCTTGGGCTACATAGAGAGTTCAGGGCCAGCCTGAACTACAAAGAAAGATACTGCCTCAAAAACCCAAAATAGATATATGATTGTTGAGATTAATAATTGAGATGATTTTAAAAATATTTAATCTAGTAACTGATAACATAACATATGCTCAATCCATTTTAGTGATCATAATTTATGAGGTACTTTTTTTCTAGTGGAATTCAGGATTAATTCTACAAACACTTACTAAATATCTAATGTATCATCATTGCACTAGGCTCTATGGGAACCTTAAAGAATTAACACATTCACAATGGGCATGTAATTCATATAGTTTGCTGCCGGATAGCTCTGATTTGAATTTCATCATCTGATGTTAAACAGGTAACCTCACCAGTGGTTCAAGCCACCCAAAGTCAACAGGAACATGTTAGGTATACTATCCTTATCTTCACAAAGCCTACCAACTACTAGAACATTTAGCAAGTAACAAATAATTCCTAACATAATATATACCACAGCTAAGTGATAAAGAACAGAGGTGCACAAATATTGACAGAATTACTAAGACTAGATTACTATAAGGTCACGGTTTAGCTGGGCCTCACAGCTATAATTGGCACAGCCAGGAAGACTAGAGGCAGAAGATTAGAATACTGAGCTGAACAATATTCTTTCATTGCAGCTGTCCACAGACAGAGAGTTTAGAAAGCATCGGAACCGTGTTGCCTACTTAAAACTGTTTTACAACTGAGATGTGGTCACTACCTTCATGCGCTCCTCCTGACCATAGAATCTCCAGGATTGAGGATAGTGCTGCTCTTCTCTTGCATTACTGTGGCCCTCTTATCTGCCAGCCTGGGGCCTAGGGAGGGGCGAAGAAGGGCTCATAACTACTATATCCAAGCATGATAAAGACTGATTCAGAGTGCTCTGACTCCATTTTTTGGTTTGTGGTCTGGGGTAGGGGGTCCTCTTGGGTTTTCAGATGTCCCCACAACCACCACAGCAGTCCCAGACTACTGAAGAAAGTTGTGGAAACATCTGTTTGGGGATAATCTAAGCAGAGAAATGAAACCCCCTCATTGTTGGCATGTCAGAGAGTAACATTCCTTGAAGAAGATATCTCCCAGAATCCGTAGGGGCTGCCCACTGAGGAAGTGAAGGTAAATGGCCTCAACCCCAAGCCTGCAATAGCCATTGTTCTGCAGAGACAAAAGACATAAAGATGCAATCAGATGCACTGTAGAAACGTTTTCCCACAGGAACTTCACTGCTTTATCTTCCATGACATCTGTGAAGATTCTGAATTGGCTTGTCTCCTGGTGACCACCCATACTATTGTGAGCTAGGATACAGAATGTCCAGGTGCATGGGTCCATCTGATCACAGTGTCCAGGAAGCCTCAGAGTGAATGTGTGCATTAGAGACATAGGCAGAGGGAGGCAGCAGGAACTGAGACCCACCGACAATGACAGTCATAGAGACCTTGCAATGTCCATAGCTACAGTTGATCACAGAGGGAAAAGTGAAGCTGAGGAGCTCCAGGGGACTGGGAGCCCTGGCAAAAGGCCCAAGCTCCACTTCCTTCCTGTGAGTGCCCTGGGAGACTTTCTCCTTTACCTTTCAACAGAAGATGGGAGAGACATGACCAGCTCCTCTTGATTTCTTGAGTCCTCTCCTCAAATGCATCTCAGCTCTTGGATGTTGGTTATATTAGTATAGCCATAAAGAATGAAGCTAGAACACAGTGTCTAACCTCAGATGGTAAAAATTACAAAGAAGGCATGGCAAATTCATTTTTAGAGGCATTCTCTCACACTCGGGCCCACTTTTATGCACATGTGTCCACATACGACAGTGCATGCTCATCCATGAGAGCACACATATGCACACACATATATACATCCAACACCTGAGGAATTAAGATTTGATTTGGGCATAGACTCTTACATGCAGGAAAAAATGAACTACAGTCATGAGTACAAAGGGAAGCCAATATGAGGAGAGAAGACTACTCAGAGTAAAGCCCAAGGATATATTTTCAGGAAAAAAAGAAATCAAAGAGAACTTTTAAAAGGTATTGATCCCTGGCTATAATATTTCAGCACAGTCAGGGGACACTGGTCATATAAATTAGCAGCTCCTTTTGACTCATCTTCACATCATCGGTCTGCATGGAGCTGGCATTGCTCCCTCCTCATCTTTCCTTGCATTAAGGTTCATGTATGAAATGCCATGCTCTGTCCCTACCCAGGGGTTCAGGTCATCCACCCTCTTCATAGTCTCTTTTGTAAATTCGTTGCACTGAGCTCATCAAGTAGATGAGCTACTTGCATATACAGAGAAGTCTTTGGCTTTTGATTTCTTACATTACTGGTCTGAACCTTCTGGCCAGGTGTTTTCTGCAGAAAGGAGCCCATGTACTGCTGGGAACAGCTAACAGAGATCTGCTACCTACATTGGCTTGTGAAAACACACATTAGTGGCCTAGTTACAGATGAAAAATGTGAGGAGTGCACAAAGATAAAGAGAATCAAGTGACTGTTCTACAAATATGGGTCACACCCACCCCTATTCCCCAACACAGAAGCTCCTCATTCCACCTTTTCCAGGAAGTCAGGTCAACCCTATTACATATGTTCCCATGTAAAACTCTTTGCATTTGTGATTATTGGACTAATACCCTCAGTCCTGGCCTGGTGTTCTCTCCAGCACTAATCGAAAGCTCTTGTGAGGCAGAGGCTATGCCTTGTCTTTTTCAGTTTGCTCTATGGAATCCAGAAGGGAGCGCCAAATGCAGTCAGGGTATATGTTTAATTAACAGATGTATTTTAACACTTACTACATGAAAGATATTCTTTCAGGGATTATGGTGATTCAAGGAGAGAGTGGTTTGTTCTTACTGGTTTTTTTTTAACTTGTAAAGACAAATCCATTCATATATTTATTTACTTACTTGCTTGCTTACTTATTTAGTGGTGTCTAGCTATTTAGCAGGTTATTCTCAAACCCCCGAATTCAAGTGATTCTCCCATCTCAATCACTAGAGTGTTGAAACTATGCTGCATACCAATGTACTCAGCTAAAAGACACCTTTTTTATTATATTTTGTTGAATCATCAACACTGAAATAGCAGCCAACAAAACTCTCATGCCTGATAGAAGCTCATATAGTTTTTTACATATTCATGCTTTCTGTTCTTACTGTTTCTGAGAAGCTAATTCTAATAGAGATGACACAAAACAGTACATTAAGCCATATGGCCAACACCAGAAGGCAACAGTGTTTAAATTCTGTATACAGCATGCAAAATCTTACCTGATTCAGTCCTTAATTTCTTGTCCAGATTTTTCTGCTCCTCTATTTTTCATCTTCTTTCACATAATGTTTTGGGTACTGTGTGTAAGCAAAGCATTATTCAAGGTTCTTCTAGATAGTCAGTGGTGACTAAGACAGACACCACCGTGCAGTGGAGGGTCCAAACACAGCAAAAACAAAAATGATGTTTAATTGCAGCCTGGATATGCCAGAGAAAGAAGAATTTGTCTCTTCTAGGAGTGTCTCTTCTCTCCTAGAAGAGTGCAGTGGAGGTCAGACAAGGGATTTTCTGAGCAAGTGACACTAGAATGACTAGAATTAAAGCCACATGAAAACTACATTTTCATCCCAAGCACATTAGAGTAGATCCCTTGACATTCAAAGCTCTTTCCTTCCTTTACTCTTACACAGTGGACTATTTCCCTTTCCCTGACGACAAGGGCATTAATTGTGTCAGGAGCACAGGTTAAAACCTATGGTGGTGAAAGTGAGGAATCACTGCACTGGGATGCTTGAGAGGACTTGGGGGGGTGAAATTTATCTGGACTTTGAAGAATGCTTAGAATTCAAGTAATTATAGCAAGGCAAGTGGAGTAGTTATAGAAAGTAGTGGATGAGATGTATTGATGGGGGGGACTTATTTTTGTATAGTCTTGAAGATGGGTCAGACTTTTGTCTCTAATTTCTATGTTGGTAGAGAAATCTTGAGGGATTTTGAGTGTAAATATAACTAATTCATGCCCAGGAAGTTTGGAACCAGATAAGCTTGTGCTTAAATTTTGGCCTTATGAACATAACTTTAGAGAAGTTATTTAGTTACAACCCTTGATTTCCTTATCCACAGAATGAAATATATTGCTGATCTTATAATGTTGGTGTGGAAATTATGTACAATAATGTATTTAAAATACTCAACAAATACACTGTACAGCTTCACTCCATTGTACCACTGCTCAAGCTTTTCTACCCTTCCAATGGCTTTCCACCTTCCTTACTTCACCTAACATCTTGCAAGATGCTTATTCAAATGTCATCTCCTTTATGAAGACTGTTCCATCTCATAAGTATCATTTCCTTTCTCTGCTTGCTTTATGAATACTATCACCACTGTCATTCATTCCGCAAACACTTGTATGCCTAGAGAGATCACATCACCTCATCGTTTGACTGTTAGTCACTTCAGGGAGAATGTAGGCATTTGCATGAAAGGACTGTTTAATTCTCTTTGCGCTCCACCAGTCAGGTGCACAGGTGAGTACGGAGTAGGCAATTAGCAAATGTTGTGTAATATGTGATAGAAGAAAATGAAAGAACATAGAAAGAGTGTCATGGACTATGAGAATTATTTATGGAAGGCTATGATGCGACTACTCAAAATAAGTAAATCTCAAGAAGGTATTTGTCTTTAAGAGCCAACAAGTAAACGATTCCATTGCTCAGACCATAATTGGCAGAACCCGTTTCTCAGTAGGCTCAAACACCAGGTTTCTTTGGCTATCCCCTTTGCATAACTTGCTCTTCTTTTCCTAGAAGCTTGAGAATCAACATTAAGTTATCTGGGCTCACTCTGTTTATCTGATGTGAGAATTTGCCACTATAAATTTTCTCACAATTGCTTTCATTGTACCTCATAAGTTCTAGTATGTTGTGGCATTATTGTTTAATTGTAGAAAATGAGCCAGGTGTTGTGGTGTATGCCTGTAATCCAAGCACTCGGGAGGCTGAGGCAGGAGGATCCCTGTGAGTTCAAGACCAGCCTGGCCTACATGGTGAGTTCCAGGTCACCATAGTGAGACCCTGTCTCAAAAAAACAACAAAAACAAAAACAAAAAAAAGAGTAATTGTAGAAAATGTCTAATCTCTTCTTTAATTATATCTGTGATCTATTGGTTGTGCAGGAGGATGTTATTTAATTTCCATAAGTTTATGCAGTTTTCATATTTTCTTTTGCCATTGATTTCTAATTTTATTACACTATGATCTGATAATATGCATGGGATAATTTCAATTCCTTTGCATTTATTTAATCATGTTCTATGACTTAATATGTGATCTATTTTGGAGAAAATCCTGTGTGCTGCTGAGAAGAATGTGTATTCTATTGTGGTATGGAACACTCTATAGATATATACTAAGTCCATTTGTTCAAAGATTTGGTTAATTTCTGATACATCTTTGTCTATTTTTTGTTTAATTGATCTATTTGTAACAGTGGGGTATTGATGTCCAGCATTACAATTGTATTAGTGCTTATTTGATTTTTTTTTTTTTTTT